GAGGCGCAGACGACGAGACAGTTTGACTGTCTGCGTCTCTATAAATATTAAAAGCGCTTCCAGGGGTCAAAGATGACTTTTGAACATGATTGTAGGAAATTTTCAAATTATTGTAACAGCTAAACTCCAAAAGTCTGTCTTTTTTTGGATCATGGTTTTTGAATAAAAGTCATTTTCTCAGTGCTCATTGCGTAGCTGCTCCAGTTCAATGTCTGTTGTTCATCACCGATCCGTTGAGCTCCCCAGAATCACCAGACACCGTCGTCAGGATTCTGAATTCGACCCTCACGAGATTCAAAGACAACACCGAAACCATGCGCTTGTAAAGATTTTGAAGTAAGTTACAAAAAGTTTAAATTTTTCTAATTCATTTTTTCCAGACCCACTTTGAAAAAATGTATGAATCGATACGAGACTCCAGAAGTCAGAATTCCAGTGTGGTATAATTGAAATTTCATGTTTTCCAGCCTAATTAAATGTGTACTTATTATGTGATACATTGTGTAGAGAAATGAATAGTTGTGAAGGAATTTTGTAGTTTCGCAAAAATTTGAAAATCGAAAGGAATGAGATTGTTCAAAAAATTATCTTTATTGGCACTTTCAGAGATGCCAAAATTTAAGTTTGTTGAGTGGTGGTAGTTTCAGAAGCAGACACATCGAGTTTCGATTGATTCTTCTTGTTCTGACGGCGGCTGAGTTGCTGGAGTGTCTTCGCCGCTTTTACATCTTCAACAGTCACGGACGTCTTTGGTCTTCCTTCTGAAAAAATTTGATCGAAATTACAACAGTGGGCGAAAAAAAACCAACGTTCAAGCTCTTCTAGTAGTCGAAACACAGCGTTTTACAGCCTATGTGGGAAGAGACGCAGACGATGAGAGACTTTGGTTGTCTGCGTCTCTGTTAAACTTCAAAGCCCTCTATCTCGATTCTCAAGAGGCCTAGAAAGATGGTTTTTTGAACAGGATCGGAGAAAAATTGTTTTATATTTATTTTTCGATTAACTTCAAAAACGTATTGAAGAATACCATTTTCCAGTTTTCTTGAAAAATTCCGGAATTTTTCCCGAAATTTTTTAAAGCTTCGGTAGAAACAAAAAACCTACTTATTGGAGTTTTGTTCTCGGTCGAATCTCCAGAAGCGGCGGCAGCGGCTTGACGTTCACGTTCTGCCTTCTTTGCTGCTTTTGCCTTGTGTATTGCTTCGATTTGCTTTCTTTTTAAAATTGTCAAGTTTGACACGCGACCCATTCTGAAAAATAAAAAGAAAAATTAGAGAAGATTTACGAATAACACTAGTTATAGTTTAAAAAAAATCAAACGATGCTAAAAATATGAGTTGCAACAACTTCAGGTTTCTAAAACTATTAACTGTTTTCTAATTTTCCTTTTTCACGACGCAAGGTTCTGGTAAATACCGTAAAACCTCTAATAGAACGACACCCGGATCGTCCAATTTGAGCCTATATATCTCATTTCTTTTGA